CATTCCCTCTTCTTTTATCGAGAGAGAGAGATAATGGCTAGCTAAGTCCAACCAAATAGAAAGTAAAGGACACATGGGATGGTCCAATGAGAAATTCCACCTTCACATCCCACTTCTCTCTCTCTCTCTTTTCAAAATCATTTTTTTCTCTAAAACCAAATATATTTGTCCACTCACACACATCATCATAATCTATATTCCATCTCCCCCACCCAAAAAAAACAAATCATAACACCTACCAAATATTCTAATATTCTCTATTTTTTTATTTTTTTTACATTTTTGGGTAATCACAAGTGGTGTGTTTCGAACAGGTAATGTCTCCAAACCTTTAGATGCCAATCCAACCCGAATTGTGCCTTGCAGAGTTGTATTGGAAGTTAATTCTTTTATGTTTTGCCACTTCGCTGAGTACATCGGGGGTCGAGCTACTCGGTCAACTCGTGGGGGTCCACGGGGCAGCGCCCCTTGGCGGGTTCGAGGGTAGCGCCCTGGCAGGGTCAAGGGGCAGCACCCTCGAAGCAAAAATGCAAAATACATTCAAATTTGCTTGAGCCACACATGAGGAAAATAGGGGAGGGCGTGTTGGCTACTGCAATAAATGCAGGTGCGGGAATGCAAGTGCGGGAGAAGCGCCGCATGTATGGTAGTAGGTGAGTCCGAAATTTTAGTCTTTTTTTCTCTTTAGGCTGAGTGTATCTCACTCTTGTTAGGTCTCTCTCTCTCTAAAAACCCTTTTCTCTCCCTTCTCTCTACATTTCCCTATGCCAAATTGGATCAAAACCTCAAGATCCATTAGAGTTCTGTCATAGTTTCTTCATCAAAGTTGGTTAACTTCTCAAGGGCTTCGTTGTGTGCGGTGAAGATCGAGTTTCGACACCGTTGATTTTGGGGGTTTCATCTCATTTCTTCTTCAAAATTTGAGGTAGGAATTTTCTTAGAGTTATATATATATATATATATATGTGTATATATATTTTTGCAAGATCTAGATGATTTTCAAAATCTTCCTTCGATAGCTTTGAAAATTGATTGTTAATTCAAAAAGTTGAGCAATTTTGAAAGTGGGTTTGCCTCTTGTTCTTTTAAAATGATCTTTTGGGTTTTGATCTTCATTGATTGAAGAAAAGATGATTTTGGAAAGTTTTCTTTCAAAAGATTTGAGCTGTGCAGTTTTGGTAAGAAAACCTAGAAATTGGGGATTTTTAAAAGAGATTGAAAATCCATGAATGATATTGTTATATTTATTTTGTGTGTCAAAACAAATGGATGTTTAGAAAATTTCCTATTTATATTTATGTAAATGATAAATTTCCTGGAATATGAGAATTGCTGTTCATTTTGGAAATTATTGTTCAAAACATTGAAATAGTCTTGAAATGACTAATTGTTGAGGATACTTAAGAAGAAGGAATTGTGTTATTCCTTGGATGATGAATTGGAATAAAAGTATTTATATTCATCTTGTGAAATTGGCATATCAATTCATTTGATTATATTACACTTTGAAAGTTGATTTGAAAACTTGCATTGAGAAAAGAATGTTGAGAAATAAGTTTTCATGGAATGGTTTTAGGGTAAATACGGTAGTAAGTCTTGAAAGGTGGTGTAGATGATAGATGTCGAGCCTTCCAATTAATATTGGTAAAAATGACAAATTACAGGTGTCAAGCCTTCCAATTAATATTGGTAAAAATGACAAATTGGTAGTCCTTGTATAGTCTACTTGGAAACACCAGCCTAGAGATTACCAAAGTCATATTTACCGCCCTTGAGATAAATTGTTAAGTTTTAAACAATTGAAATTGCATGACATCATTGAACATGATGGTTTTCAAAAGATGAAAATGTGATTTACTTTCAAAAAAGGAGCATAGCGTGACATGTGCATTTCATCTCTTGAAACTTGTATAAAATGTATATACTTTGTTAAGGATTTCCTACTAGGCTTTATGCTCATCCTACGGGATTTTTGTGCAGGAAAAGATGTGGTGATTCCACCTAACTAAAGGCGAAGAAATATGTGTTGAGAGTATAAGGCTCTCATTTTGATATAACTCTGTTTGTAAGCCAAGGGCTGTATTTGTGCGGGTTTGAATAACCATTTTGTGTAACCATGCCTAAGCCATGGAAACTTGTAAACCCTTGGGGGTATTTATTTGTTTATTTATTTGGTTTTGGATTAAACGTATAATCGCATTGAGGAACTAATTGTATCATGTAATGCAAGTGTGGAGAATTATTTCTGTTTTCTTTTAAGGAGCCATGATAGTTGTGTTATCATTTGGGCATAGGAAATGGGGGCGTTACATACACATACATATATATATATGCATAAACAATCTATAATCAAGGTTGTTAAAATCGGGATCCTATGTTGGATCGTTGGAGGTGTTTATAGGATCGGATCGTAGAATCGGATCGAGAATCATAAGATCCTACCGATAAAGACAAATTACATAATAATTTAATTTAAATAAATATTTCTTATAAAGTATACACAAAATGAACTTATATTCTATTAAAAAGAAGTGAAGATAATGTGAAAAATATAATACTCCATGTAAAATGTATATATAATATTATGCAATAGAAAATCTGACGGTAAAAGTTCTGTATTTTATCAAAAAAGAAGGTGAAGAAGAAGAAGAATTCTATAACAAAATACTTTACAATGCACAATAATGCATAAAAAGTGAAGAAAAAATATTTAACAATATTGGAAATGAAAATAGATTAAGAACTCAAAAGAGTAGCTTAGTCGAATGATAAGGTTTGTCGTTAGCATCCCTAGTGGAGCGGATTCGAGTCACAAAAATAATTTCTCCAGAAATTGAGATAAAGTTGCAATCATCTTACCCTTCTTAGACTCCGCTAAAGCTAAGTTTGTTTTTCCGACTATTTAATTTTCTTAAATTACCGCAATATTTGAATGTTTGTTTCCTAGTTTGTTTTTCTTAGTCTATTTGATTCAATACTACTTAATTTTTAATATTTATTTTGACGACATAAATTGGTATTTAGATAACAAACATAAAATTTACAACAAAATATGTCATACAATATAAAACAAGACTTATAAATTGGATCGGATAAGATCGGATTCGGATCGGGATTCCACGATCCTATAAGATCCCACTACTAGGATCGAAAGATCCTACCTACAAAGAGTTTTTTCCATGATCCGGATCGATTGTACTCAAATGGATCGTAAGATCCGGATCGAGATTCTGATAACCATGTCTATAATAGTTGAAATAAGAGAGTGATTGAGCAGGGCTGACCCTGAATTATTAGAGGCCTAAGGCAAATTTTTTAAATTGGACCCTTCATATTTCATTTATCCAAAAAAAAAAAAAATTTGTTTGGATAAAACAAAAAAGACAAAAATTTATTTCTATTGCATTACAATTTAACAAAATTTAGATAACATATATATATATAATAGTTGAACTTCAATTAGTTAAATTGAATCTTTATTTTTTAGCTTATCAATGTTGTAATAACTAAAATTAATTGGGGATAAAGATGATAATTTTCGACACAACTCAAGTAATATATAAAATTAGTAAGTTAGGGTTGACTATTTTTCAACATGAATCCAAGTATGATACGACTCAACAACATGAATTACTAATTATATATTTTAATGTTCACTAAAGGATGCCATGGCATTTTTTTAAGAATAAAGATTGGGACCCCCTTTCCCCCACCCCCTTTCTTTTTTGATTGGTCACTTTTTCTTTTTCTTTTTCTTTTTTTTCTCCTCCTCCAATCACCACCCGCCACGTGTGTGTGGGGGGGGTGGTGGGGGTTGAAATTTGAAGGGGTCTAAATCACTGCTGTTTTTTTAATCTTTTATTTAACTCTATCTAATTGAATAAAAAAGTATGTAAAATAAATTAAGGCTAATATCTTTTTTTCATTTAAGACTTGTATTTTTTTGTTACCTATTGTAGAGTCAATTTAGTAAAAAATATATAGTGATAAGGTACAATTTTCTTAATTAGAAAAATGTAATTGAATTAAAATCAAACATTTTATGAATAATTTCATTTAGTAGAAATAAATTTTATAGAATTCAACTTATGGGAAAAATCTCCATACACTTGCTAAGTTATTTTACACTAAAAATGAAAATTTTCACATTAAATATCAATCGGACACGAATCAAAATAACGCCATATGACGACATGAAAATAAATAAATTGAACTAATATTGAAGTAATTATGAAATAGTACGACATGATACACTCCCCTAGTTGGAGGCCCTAAATTTTGTTCAAAATTGGGAGCCCGAGGCAAACGCTTTAGTCGCCTCACCTCAGGGCCGGCCTTGTGAATGAGCACGAGATGGTGTTGTGAGTGAGGATTGGCGATAGAGAATGATAATGAATCACTGTGACATTGGTAAAAAAACCTTCTTCATAGATGTTAAGTTCTTCTTTTTTCAAAAAAAAAAAAGAGCCAAAAGCAGTTGATTTTACTCTGGTTCTTTTTTAAAAAAAAATTACTTTTAGATTTGTGTGTATAAGGCAACTTTAAAAGTAAAAATTTTAACATAATTTAAAAAAAAAAAATCATTAAAGACAAAAAAAAAAAAAATTAGAAAAAAAATTGACTTTTTTGGATGTATGCCAAACATGTAAGTGATATTTGATAAAACTGGAAATTGAAAACTAAAAATTACACTGAATACTCATCTTTTTAAGCTAAAAAACTGTTTGATAATGAAAACTGGATGTTAAATTTTTTAAGCTACCAAATTATTAATAGAAATTTAAGTGTTAAATTAAAACAAATTGTTTGATATGTCTAATATTAAAGCTAAAATTTATTATTCTTAAATTAATTATTTTTATTTTATGTTGTGACAGTGAGTTGGTGGTGGTAGAGGCAACAACAATACCTACAACACCAATGACAATGGTGGTGAAGATAGAAAGATAATGGTTGTGGTGATAATGAAGGGGTAATGTAGTGAAAATAAAAAATGGTTGATGGCGGCAGTGTAATAATGGTGGTTATTGTAAGGGTAGAAGGGTTGCAGTAGTTGTTATAGTAGTGGTGGTAGTAATGACAATGGTGTCTATGGAAATGGTAGTAAATTAATGGTAGCTTTTATAATAACAACAATAATGATGATGAAGATGATAGTTGTGAAAGGGTGGCGAATGGTGGTCATGGCAGTGGTGGAGGCAGTAGCAGTGGTGATGATGGTGGTAGTAGTAGTGATGGAGACAAATACGAAGTTATAACATTATATGTTGACATTTATATATAAATATTTATAAATTCAGTCAAAATTAAGTAAATTTCTTAGGGCAAATTACATATATCTCCCTCGAGGTTTAGCTAAATTACAGATACCCCTGAGGTTTCGAAAATTACAGATACCTCCCTGAGATTTATATTTTAATAACAAATTACCCCCTGAGGTTTATATTTTCATAATAATTTGCCTCCTAATTTGTTATGCAAATAGTACCTTTAGGGGAGTATCTGTAATTTCTCAAATCTCAGGGGTATCTGTAATTTTGCTAAACCTTGAGGGGGTATATGTAATTTGCCCATCTTTGGAAATGAAAACAAATTCAGGATGAAGTAGATCTGCTTGTTTTGATAATTTTGATCAGTTAATCTTTGCAAGATTTCCATTCCAATGCTTAAATCAACTCAAATAGTCCCTATGCTACACCTCTTGAAATAACATCGTATTATTCTTTTTTTGTCCTAATAAAAGTACTTCCAAAATGCTAACCTAGCATGCATGCCTACACCGTCACTTCCTAAATGTGCATTGCAAAATTAAAACATTTTTATTTTCAGGGTGAAGTTGTTTCAAGTATCAAAGTTTCCTTAAAAATATCCCCACAACATGTCGAAGTCAATCTCTCTGAAGTAAAAGGGTACGAGAAACATGTCATCGTTGAACTTATGCAAGAAACAATCAACAGATTAGCCAAGAAAGCTTTGCAATGCAACAAAGATAATTGTCGAGGTATACCTCTTTTTGCTTCTTTTTTTTTTTTTCGTTTTTGTTTTCGAAAGCACAAAACACTTATTCAAATTGTCAATATAATTTTTTTGCAGTGATCATTCTATATGAAGCAGACAAACTATCAGCAGATGCATTACTGTATATAAAGTGGCAATTAGGGAGACATAAAGGGTGCAGTAAGGTCTTCTTTTGTTGCTCCGATGCCTCAAAGCTTCAGCCAATAATGTCTCTTTGCACCGTTGTTAAACTACTTCCACCTTCGAATGAGGAAGTGAGAACCGCTTGTTACGATTAAATTACAGCAACTTTTTGCGCTATAATCTTCTCCTAAAATGATTAAATCCTTTTCTCCTTTCGTTACTTAGATTGTTAAAGTTTTGGAATTCATAGCGAAACAAGAAGGGATTGAATTGCCTCACCAATTAGCGGATAAGATTGCTATCAACGCTAAGAACAATCTACGACAGGCCATACGCTCATTGGAGGCCACTTGGCAAGCAAAGTAATGATAGCTTCAATTATTTTAAGCTACATATAATTTGTTATACAACTTGTTTGGTTTGGATTTTCAAATTTTACTTTTTAGAAAATTGAAATTTTTTATTTTTTTTTATTTTTTTGCTTTCACTAATTTTTTTTAATATTCTAAGAATTGTTTTTAATTTTTAGATACACCTAACATAAATACACTTAAAAAATATAATATTTGTGAAATTATTTTTTAGAAAATTCAAAAAATATCAAAAATACAAAAAAAAAAATCAAGAATTTAGTAATTTTTTGTATTTTTTTATATTTATTAATTTTTTAAAATATTTTTTCATAAATTTTTTACTTTTTAGATACATCTAAGTAAGGTATATCTAAAAAAGTAAAAAAAATGTTTAAAATTTTAAAAATATTAAAAAAAAAAAAAATTTGCTTTGAATTTTAAAAATATTCACAAAAAACAAAAAAATTTAAAAAAAAAAAAACTCAATTTTTAAAAAATTAAATCCAAAAAATTAAAACCAAACATATTAAATAATACTCTTGGGTGTCTTCTACCTCCAAAGACCCAACAAGCTTACAACAAAACACTACCCTCAGCCAAACAGTACCATCATTAATATATAGAAACGTCAATCAAATGCTGTTTTTCAAAAACAAAATGTATCTCTTAAGTTACATTTTCAAATTATATTTTATGATTTTTTTTTTGAAAAATAGAAATTAATTTAAAAAATAAACACCAAAAAAATATTTTTAAATATTTAAAAATTAATTATGCACCCAAAAAAATGTGAAAATGATGAGTATTTTTACACCAAATTAATTTTTAAGTTTTTCATAACTTCTTTAGAAAATTAATTATGAAAATTAAACCAAACAAAGAGTGTTATGATTCACACCATCCCTATATCTGTTTATATGTGTATATTTTTTGAATTGCCATGTACTAGGAATGTTGCTTATTTTAAAATTAATTCTGCACCCAAAATAGAAAAAAATATGTGAAAATGATGAGCATTTTTTTTTAATTTTAATTTTTTACACCAAATTAATCTTTAGTTTTTTCATAATGTTTTTGGAAAATTGATTGCGAAAATTAAACTAAACAAAAAAGTGTTATGATTCGCTTTCCCTATATAGTGTGTATATATATATTTTTATATGTTTTGAATTGCTTTGTACGAGAAAGGTTGGTTATGATAGCATAATACTGTGACCTTTAAATAAAAATTAAAACAAACAAACAAAAAATAAAATAAAAAACAAAAAGAGAAATAAAAATAAGAATTCTAATGGGAAACAAAAGAGAAATAAAAAAAAAAATCTAATAGGATTTAAAAGTTTAGTCATGGTGACTATATTCCCAAATTCAGTGAGATTTTTTTTTTTTTCAATAGCCTTGCATGGGTGGGATATAAAAGTTTAGTTATGCTTACTTTAAATTTAGAAAAAATTTCATTTCAGGAGTGATTTTGAAAATTAATTATTAAAAAATGATAAATTTTATAAATATTAATAATTAAAAACCTAATTTTTATTTTTTTTTATTTTTTTATGAATGTGTAATATTTCCTTAAATTTAAATGTAAGCTCACTTGGAGATGGAAGCTGACGATAGCCTTAGATAGTAAGTCACTAATTTATCTTTCTCTAGGATTTGGTGGGTTAGATGCGGCAATGTTGGAGTAGTTGGGTTAATAGAGAGAGAAAGATGGAGTTGGGGTATTTTAGTCATTTAATGTTATTTTTTACACTGTTTGGAATAAAGTTAGCAAAAGGAAGAATCTTTATAATAATTTCAAAAGTAAGGGAGATTAGTGTTATTATTAAAACTACAGGGGAGGCCCTTATAATTATACTAAACATCAGGGGAGGTTAGTGTAATTTGCCTTATAATTGATGGGTGTGAATAAGGGTGAGCAGTGGATATTCCGATCCAAACTGACCAAACCGAACCAACCCGCCGCATTTTGGATGAATGTGTGATGATGAGCGGATGGTTACAGATTGATTTTTTCCAATCCGCCCAATTTTGGACGGATAGTGGATTTGAGATTTCTTTGGCCGCAACCGAACCGCCAAACCGAGAGTGCCCCTAAAAATTTGTAAGACTTTATTTTTTCAATTTGTTTAGATATTCTGTTTGTATTTTCAATTGAAAAAAAAGTTTAGATATTCAATTGTCTTTTCAATTGTCATTTCAATTTGTTTTCATTTTGAAAGTCCTATAAATACCACCCCTCTCATATTTTATTTCTCACAAACAAATTTGTCTCTCAAACTCTTATTCTCTCTGAACTCTCAACTCTCTCAATTAATTTTGAAGTGTCATCCCTAAGTGACAATTGCAATTGATCACCTATCTCTATTTTAGATTTATTTTTAGCCATAGTATCTTCATTAAAGATAATAGAAATAATAATATACAAATGATATACTTTTTAAAATATCTATATACACTTATAGACATATATATATATATATATATATATATATATAATTTAACTAAATTTTAATAAAAAATATGTTGAAAAAATTATCTATGACGTGATTTTATTTTGTTGCACTAAGTAATTTTTCTCCTAAATTTTTTCCCAACTTTTCTTCATTTTTTTCTCCACTCAATTTCCTTTCCCTTAATTTGTCCTAGTTGTGCCTTAGCTCTCTCTATTTCTTAATCAGGCTTCTTTATTTCGCTCAAATCATCGAACGTCCATCATTGATAGTTCTTCCTCACTGGATTCTTCTTCTCTATACTCTTGTGTCTCTGCAATAGATCCTTGAACTCGTCACTATTCTCTTTGTCTATTTCAACACCATTCATTCTGGTGATATTTCTCTATCTAGTAAATGCATTTATCTCGAAACTCTAGCTCTTTCACATTAATATGTCATACATATACAAACCTTTGGCCGTAATTATGATTTTATCAATTTGTACATATGTTATAGAATTGTTGAAAAATGAATATTACGCATTTTGTTGTACTGTTCTGCTATCTCAGCTCTCTTCATTCGTCAAGCATCTCTCTCATTCCTTATTGTCGCTGTAGATATCTCCGATATTCCTTATCGGAAACACTACCATCTTTGACATTATTTTCACAGGCGATAAGTCTGTTCAGTCTCTCTTTCTCATATTCCCTTTCCTTTTGCTCTATTGGTTAATCTTCTCTAACTCTCATTTTGTGTTCCATGGCTATAAGTCGTGGATTAAATTATTTAATTATTGTCATTACATTCTACGTTTATCTGTATCATTAGAGATCCCGATTGGTCTGAAATAGAGAGAGCAGAGAGAAGAGAGAAGAAGAGAAAGACAGAGAGAAAGAGGAAGAGAAGAGAGAGGAAGAGGGAATTGAAAGCGAGAGAGGGTCGATCACCGCCGCCTCCGCCTCCGCTTCCGATCTCTGATCTCCTCCTCTGATCTGTGTATGAGGATGATGTGTTGAAGTTTTTTTTTTTTTTTTTTTTTTTTTGGTGTTAAGAATAAGAAGAATAATAAAAATAAAAATAATAAAAAAATGTAGTAATGGGGAAAGCAGGTGCGCTGGTGGGGGGAATAAAGGAAGGCAAAAGAAGAATATGATTAAAGAGATGTGTTGGGTTTTAGATTTTTACATTTTTTTTCCTCTCTCTCTACTGTGTTGATGAAGATGTGTTGGGTTTCAGATTTTTACATTTTATTTCTCTCTCTCTGCTGTGTTGATGAAGATGTGTTGGGTGGTTGATGATTTTTTTTGGTCTCACTCTCTGTTGTGTTGATGAAGATGTTGGGTGGTTGATGATGATGATTCTCTCTCTCTCTCTCTCTCTGCTACTCTCCTCTCCTCTTCTCTTCTCTTCCTCCTTCTTCTTCTTCTTCTTCTTCTTTGTTCTTCTTCTTTTTTTGCTTTTTCTTCTTCGTAGTTATTGAAAAAAAAAAAATCAAAATGACGAAACGGCGTCATTTTGAATTCGGGCAGAATTCGAGCTTGAAAATTTCGAGCTACCTAGCATAATTGTTTCTATATTTTAAACAATTTTGTTACGTCAATTAGTGATGCAGTTATGTATTTCCTAGTTTATATCACAAAACTTTGTGACTTGATTACGATATTTATAGTTTCTAAAATTTTAAATATTTTTATTACGTCAATTAATGGTGTGATTATACATTTTGTAGTTGATGAGTAAAATATTTTTTTTTATATTAATTTTACTTAATAAAAATAGACGAAGATTTATATTAAAAAAAAATTGAGTGTAAATTGATAAAAATTATAAATTAATAATTTATTTTATTATAAGACTCTAAATGTTTTAAATTTTTTTATTATGATTATTACATAATTTTCCCCAAATAATTTCCTCCAAAAATTTGGAACAAACGTCCAAATTTTGTGAAAATCAAAATTCCATCCTTCCATGACAAATCCCTCAAACTCCCAAACGTCTTCAAAAATTTCTCTCTCTCTCTCTCTCTCTCTCACAGTCGTTGCCACTGCCCATGCAACCGCCGAGACCTGTTTTGCTTTCGCCGCCGCATCCTCCACCATGGAGAAAAGCTCCCAAAGCTGTTGACGAAGATCTCTATAGGATCTCGCCGGAGCTACTCCTCGCCAAGCATCGAAGAGTGAGTCTGCCCTTTTCTTTTCCTCCTAGTTTTAGCAAGCTACATGCCTCAATGTATGTCTCTCTCTCTCTCTCTGCAGCTTGTTTGTCTCCCTTTCTCCATCTCCATTCTATGAAACCCTAGACCGAAATCCCCTTCTTCGAAACTGCCCCTTTCACCGAAATCCAATCTGATAGGCCATTCTTTTCTCATTTGATTTTCTCAGAAGAATGTAATTGTAAATTGAGAAGTACAATTCTTTCCAAAATCTATGAAAGCATTGGGATAAAAATTAGTTAAACTTCCTTATTTACATTTTATGGAATTCTTTCTTTCAACTTAATTAGAAACTTAAAAGATGATAAATTACTTTTAACAATTACTAAATTTGAAATTAAGTCAAATTTATATTAGTAAGTT